TTTTTTATGATAGATCCAGGTCCACTTCTCAATCCACGTGGTAGACCATACTGAGAAACTTTGGATATATTTGAATTGATTTTATATATGTGTGTGTGTTTTAGTATTTTTTTTATATTTGATGAACTTCGAAAACAATCAGTTAATTGTTGATGTTTTCATTCAGTTTCCAGTACTTGGCACCACCGCGTGGACTATATAGTTGACTATTTAAAAAAAAAACTATAATTTACTTGTGTCAAAATAATCATAATAGTATCGCAATAAATAAATAAATAAATATATTTAAGTTTAACTCTTGATATTTAAGATTGAAAAATAAAATTAAAAAATTAGTTAAGAAAATAAAATAAAAAATTAAATCAATCTGGGTTAACTTATCAAACATCAATTATGAAACTGAAATAATATTATAGAAAACAAACATAAATAAATTATAAAGTTTAATTTTTAATTAGTTTAAATGTTAAATAATAAAATTAAAAAAAATAAACATAAAAAAACTCAAGTTAATCAGGTTAACTTGAAAATAAATCAAAATAAATTATGAAATTAATTCCTGGTGAATATAATGTTAATATAATGTTAAGGGGGAAACAAATAAAACCAATATTAAAAATAAAAAAGAGAAAGAGAAAAAAATAGTATTCATTGGAACATATTTATTAGAAGATAAACAATTATTTTCTCTCTCCGCTTAATTTTTTGTTAATAATAAGGATGTAAAGTAGACATTTTGTAATTGTTAATTAGAATTAGAAGCAATTAATTCACAAATTTATAAAAACATATACTCATATAGTAAAATAAAAATGCATGCATTTATATCAAATAATAACAATAACAACGATAAAAAAAAAATACATATATACCTAAATACATCAATATACTACGCGTCAATATACAATAAAAATTCAATACCTCCAAAGTTGTTATGTTTATAACCAAACTAGTTATTTAATGCACGTTTCACCGTAGATAGAATAATATATTTTGAAAAATAAAAAAAAATTAAAATTTTTTATTATAAAATTTTAAATTATAAATTTAAAAGGTTTACTTGTAAATTTAATTCAATAAATTAAGAATTATTCATGCTAGTGCAAGCAAAAAAAAATAAAAATAATGCATTTATTCAACTTGTATAACTACAAGTCGGATAATTGTTTTTCTCAACAAAAATGAATTAACATCAAGGTGTTATTATCATATTTTTTTCACAACAAATAAAAAAATATAACTGTAAATTAAAATTTCAATTTTTATATATAATGAAATATAATGAAAATCATAAATGTTAATAAAAACATATAAGATTTCAAACTTATTTTTAAGATAATAATAAAATATTATAATTGTTGCATTGAGACATTATTTCTTTAATCTGTGTATAAGGATTTTTCAAAAAACAAAAGGTGTAAAGAAAAACAAAGAAAAATTTAAAAAAAAAAAGATTACAAAAGAATAAAGACAAGAACAAAAATAATTGTACAAATAGGCTAAGTGCAGAGTGACCAATATTTCAAATGTGAAGAATAAAAATAATATTTTTTACAGAAAAAAGAGAAAAAACTAAAAAAGTATTAAAAAAAATAAAGATAAAAAAAGGTTGATGAATAGGCCAATTTCAAACTGATAAAAATATAAAGTACAAATAGAAAACAAATGTTTTCTTAAAAAAACAAAATTATAGATTTTCCACCAATATAGTATCCGTTGCTGTTAAAAAATTGGAGAATTTCAATCATACCATTTTTACAGTAAAAGTGTGTTTCCTTTTAATATATACTAGATTACTGGCCGTGATGCATTGCACCTCAAATCAAATTTTATTTTTAACATAAAAAATATATTTAGATATTATTAACGTGTTTTTTCAGTGAAAAAAATAAATCATGTGAAATTAATTTGATGTGATTTAGTAACATTGGTTGTTTAAACTCTAAAGACAACCCAAATGATCGATAAAATTATAATTTAAAAAAAAAAATATTTAAGATTATGTTTTTTAATAAACATTAAAATTATAACATATTGGATTAATTTGGGTAAAGTCGAGTTAACATGTCAATCTGCCTCCTAAGTTATGAAATCATGATAATTCCATATAAATCTAATCAAGACAAATTAAAAAACTTAATTTCTAATAAATCTAATATCGAAAGGTAAATATGAAAAAAAAAACAAAAAACAAAAAAAAATAATCTAAGTCAGCTTCGGTTAACTAGCCAAACCCACGCCTCAAGTCATAAAACCAAGATAAGCCAAAAGAAAAAAATTAAAATAAGTTATGAAGTTTAATTTTTTAATCAATTTAATGTTAAAAAATAAAATTATAAAAGAAAATTAATTAAAAAAATATAAAAAATGACCCGGGTCAACCACAGTCAACTCACTAAACTCATGATTTAAGTTACAAGATAGAGGTAACCTTATAGTAAGTATACCAAAACAAATCATGAAACATAATTTCAATCAACTTAATATTAAATGATGAAATTGAAAAAAAAAACATCAATCATAAAAGGAAAAAAGCCTCGAGTCAATAGAATTAACTTGTTAAACTCACGTATTAGGTCATAAATATTAAATAACCTCATAAAAAGTAAATTAAAAATTATAAAATATAATCCTTGATAAACCTAACGAATGATAAAATTGAAATTGAAAAAAAGAACTAGATTAGAAAAAGAAATAAAAGAAGGAAAAAAATTATTCTAGTGAGGAGGTAAACCCCCCTTCTCATTTAGTTTTTTATTAATTAATTTAATATTAAAGAATAAAATTAAAAAGAAAAAGTCAATTAATAAAAAACTTCAAGTAAACTGGTTTAACCCATTAAATTCGCAATCTATGTTATGATAGTGAGATAAAAAAAATTAAATAATAAAATTTAAAAAATATTGATTGAAAATAAAAGTGAAAGATAAAAAAACAAAACATAATTTTAATAAAAAGTGCTATGTTTATAGTTATTAAACCTATCCCTGAATTTGACCCGACCAATATGTGGGGTCCCAAGTTAACTTAGAATTTTTTTTTGAGGTTTTAATATTTTATTTAAAAAAATTAAAAAACAATTCATGAAAAAATATAAATTATATATCTTATAAATAATAAAATTTAAAATATTATTTCAAAAAGTTTATCATACATTAAAAAAACACTTTATTTTCAATTTAAATTGAATATTTAAATTAAAATATTTTTTGTCTGATATTATAAAAGCACAATTTTTTTAAAGAATATAAAATACATGATAATAATGGTCTTCCAATTCAGTATTGAAAAAATAAAAAATAAAAAATAAAATTAATGTTTATACAATGCTATGTTTTTTTCAGGAGGTATCTTAATATATCTTTTAATTATCCTGGTTATACACACCGTAATGCTATGTTTTTTTCAACAATTGTCTCTAGGTTTGTTTTTGCAATACGTGTCCATTACAACAATAAATTACGCACGTAGAAGGATCTTGTGTAGCCTAGCCACTTAATTGTGAGAACTTCGGTTCTTGACAAAGAACAAATAAAGAGCTTATCTATGTATATTGTATGGTTTAATTAATTAAAAAACACACACACAAAAATACTTGAACTTTATAAAAAAAAAAAAGAGCATAAAAGATTGCTTTCACTTGTAATTCAAATTTCAAGGAACAAAGAAATAATTGGAAGAAGACAATGACGTGTAAAATGTTTAATCGAATATATATACGCTGTGTAAAATGTTTCATAAAAAATCAAGATGGCAATTATTGAATAATATTTTTTATTTTTTTATTAATATAAATGTTTGGATAACTTATGTACTAATCCTATAAATCTTAAAATTAATAATTATTTAATCCTGATCGTCATATTAATAATTACGTGTTCGAATTTAAAATTACAAGGAGAGCAAACCCCGAGCTCTTTATCATTGACAACCTACTGACCTATGTATGGTTATTGAACAACATTTCAAGGCGCACGGGTGGCGCAGCAGCGGGGATGGACCCTGATGTTGATAATCTGCAGAGTTGCACAGCGTGGAAATGATCATCCTACGCACAGATTCAGACCAGTGGACCGAGTGGGACTCACCCCTCTGAGCCCTAACGGGGAAGGTGCTATTATGCTGCACCCTTGAATTCTACACTCTTTAATTTGCTTTATTTGCAAACCATCACTTTTTATTCTCTGTGAAATGCATAAGTTAACCAGAACACATACCACAGAATTATTATGTGGGGGCGCTGAAAAGCACTTCACAACTTCATCTTATGCTTTTTTTTTTTAAAAAAAAATTATTTTTAAAAATGCTTTTAGCTTCTTAAAAGTATTAAATTGATGTTTATTTTCACGCTTATAAATGATTTAAATATAGGAATATTAAAAATATATAAAAATATATTTTAAAATAAAAAGTCTATTTTAAATAGTATCATAAAACGCAATTCTAAACTGCTCGTTAACTGCATTTCAAATTAAAACATCCCAAGAAATCATGATGCTGTTTGTTCAGAAAAGATTAGCTAATAATTACATCATGGTATGGTCATCATGATGGTAATGTGGAAGGTTTATTATATTAAAAGAATGAGCTGCTTGGGACTTTGAGATGTTTAAGCTAATTATAATTAGACCCCGTTTGAATTCACTTAATTACTCAAGGTTCTCATATTCTTTTATTTAGCTAATGGCACAAATTAATCAGTCATTACAAAAGACATATACTACTAATTTTTTTATTGGGCATTAATAAGAGGATGGCTGACCATGTCCACACGATATCCCACAAGTCATGTAGCCCCCAACCCATCAAATTCCAGCCCCCACATGGCCATACCATGTCCACACCGACCTAGCCATGCGGACCCCATCGCCCACATGGAGCTGTTTCCTCATCTTTTCCGTTTCAAGGAGCCAACGTTCCTGAATTTCTTCCCACGACCCCCGTAACCTACCTTGACCGTTCCCGCTTAAAATTTGCTCTCAAAAGTCTTCCATATGGGCGGCCGTGCTTGTCCCACTCTTGTCCCCTGAATGCATGGACAGGTTGCCTCAAAGGTGCTGCTATAGCTACCGACAGGCTTAGCTTGCCTTTGTCCATAATTCATGCATTTGAAGAGAGAATAACCAGGCATTTCTCTCAACCTCTTCCTTTTGTATATAAAATACACTTGTTTCCATTCACACCTGAATCCCCTCACAGAAAAAACTAGCTACCATTTCTCTCAAGAATCATTACCAAAGGAAATCACAAGAGCAATTTCCAAGTCTTGTATCTCTCTTAGCAGTTCCTGTTTTTGAACAAAGATTGTTGGAAAATATGGAAGGTGGTGTTGCATATGAGAATGATCTAAACCTCAAGGCAACTGAGCTTAGACTGGGGTTGCCAGGGACGAGCTGTACTAATGAAAAACAAGCAGTTTTTGGTGCTAGAAACAACAAACGACCATTGCCAGAGACCAGAGAGGAGCGTGGAGCAAAAGGCAAATCTGATCCTGGACACGATGACCAAGAAGCTGCCCCTGCTCCCAAGTAAGTCAGAAGTTTTCTTGTTTTTGGTTCAGGGTCTTTCGTTTTTTTTTAGATCGATTCACACTTTGTGATTTTTCTATGATGTATTGTAGCACCCATTCATTTCATGTACATGCAACATGCAGGGCACAGATAGTGGGCTGGCCACCACTCAGATCCTACCGGAAAAACAGCCTGCAGCCAAAGAAAGCTGAGGCCGAGGCTGCAGCTGGGATGTACCTTAAAGTAAGCATGGAAGGGGCACCATACCTTAGAAAGATTGATCTCAAGGTTTACAAGGGATACCCTGAGCTCCTAAAGGCTTTAGAGAACATGTTCAAGCTCACCATAGGTAAGAATATTTTGATAAATATGCATGTGCAGCTTGATGATGTTCTTATTATTCTGATGATGAAATCTGTAACTATGTCAGGTGAGTACTCTGAAAGGGAAGGCTACAAAGGATCAGAATATGCACCCACTTATGAGGACAAAGATGGCGACTGGATGCTGATTGGAGATGTTCCATGGGAGTAAGTTCTGCATGCCTCTCTCTCTGAAGATCATTTGAATCCATTTCTGTATGTTATGTGATAAATTTTCTCACAAGGTTTATTCTTATTTGCAGTATGTTCCTGTCATCCTGTAAGAAATTGAGAATCATTAAAGGATCAGAAGCAAGAGGTTAATTTGGGTTGTGGGGTATGAATAACCCACAGGCCATGTTAACCCACGGGATCAGGAAGAAGAGAAGATTCATCCCTTGAGAAAATCTTTCAGCTTGTTTTCTCCAGGAAGAAAACTCAAATCTGAATCTGGTTCTCTCTTGACTGGGTTTTCTACAGATGGCTGGAAGTTTTAGACAGGAAACAGGAAAAATCAGAGTGAAGTTACGGTTTCTATCATAGGGTGTGGCAGCGAGATATCTGGTGGTTTGGACATCTATGGTGTCATTTTGTTGGTCTTTGTAATCTCACCAAAACCAAAACTGGATGCAGGAAGTTATTATTGCTTCAAATGCAATTATGTAAAATCAAAACAGAAAAGAAACATATTTAAGACAGGGTTGTCCATGTTTTTGCCATGTAATGTTCTCCATACAGTGCTAAAGCTAATTACAAAAGTGTGTTTGACAGTTCTCTAACATATCCTGTAATTGTTTCTGATTTTATATTCCTCAGCTAAAAGATGTGATTGATATGGTTCTGTGTTCTCTAGTCAGTGTGGGACAGCTTGATCAAGTCCTTGAGTGCCAATCTCTACACAAACCACCCAATTAATATTATGATTATAAACTCTACCACAAGCAGTGGGATCTCCATGAAATCTGATCCAAATTTTGTTTATTTGAAAGGCAGCATAAATACTCAATGCAATCAATACGAATACTTTCGAAAAAGAGAATGAAGTCTGGTCCATGGAATCTTGATTTACTAATAATGCCAAAGAGCCGGTGTTAAATGAAGATTTTCACTAAAATAACAAAGAGAACAAGAAAATAATGGGAAAAAAGAAGAGAGAATCTCAACCTTAAGACGACCAGTTACCAATCGAGTTTAAACACCCCCCCCCCTCTTTTTTCTCAAAAATCTGTGTGACCAGTACAGGAGGGAGAATAATAAAAGAAACGAAAGCTACATAATTGTTTAGCTATTCCCAGAGGAAAGGAAAGAAGCAGGTATTTTCATTTTACAAGACCAGATATAATATAGTTATATCTCAAAAGGAACCAACAGTTTTGTCAAGGGAACCCAAAGATAGTTCCTTGATAGTATCTTTCCCAGTTTCCCTCAATATTTTTGGATAAAGAAAAGGGGATTTTGCAGACTAAGGGAAGACTTCTTTAAATTTCTCCTCCAACTTCTTCAACAAACCATACAGAATTGAAAAAAGTGATCACAGGTATATTATTTGCGTCAAAATGGAAATTAACCAAAGATAAATTTCAAATAGATTCAATACCAGGAGATATCAGACATCCTTAGTCTATTATCAATCCAAATTAATTAACATAATCCTTAACTTAACTACCAATAGGGAAGTCCAAAAGGTATTCGACGTAATCCAGCTGACATCCAAAGAAAAGGTAGAGCGAAAAAATAATAGTATTAGGAAGCTTCAATTCATGCGCATGGCCTTGTGTGCTCATCAGCCACCACTACATGGAATTGCACTGAGAGCTTTAGGGGAGCTCTAATTAGAGGACTTGGATTTCTGGTTGTGTGTGAAAACCAATCACAATGAGAGAGTAAAGGGAAAGAAAAAGTTGCCTCAAAAGCATTAACTTTCAGCTAATAAAGATGCTCATCTTTAACGCTTTCAGTTTTCTTTAGCATAACCAAAGACGACGAGAGCAAGTCACGTTGGGAATAGTGAAGACCAGAAATATGCACATGACACATGATTCATGATTAAACACTGTGCGTGTGTGACAGAGAGAGAGAGAGGGTCAACTCTCAGAAGTCTGAAGTAGCAGGAACTGTAGCTTGTCTGGGAAATTAAGCAGTTACTAATAAATTAGATTCCAATTCAAGATAGCTATCTTCTAAATTCAATGTGGACTAATTAATCCGCGGAGTCGGTGCAGAGTTTTTCAAAAGTGAAAATGTTGGTCTTGCAGGAACATCATTCTGTGCGCACACACGCAGGTTTTCAGAAGGCATCCAATCTGTGTTCGGAACAAAAGTTTTTGTGGAATTATAGCTGATTTAATGTGCATTTCTGAGAAATTACCTTCTAACATCTGGCTAACTAAAAAATCTGCAATCACTATAAATGTTACCATGTTAGTTGGCAGTGTGTTATCACTGATATAGTTGTATTATCGAGGAAAGAGCGAATTTTTGGAACTTAGTAAAGATTATCTTGTCTAATATGCTTTTGGCAAAAGGTGATCAGCTGGGAGCCACATGCTATAAAGCAAACCTATCTCTACAATTTTCTGGTTCATAAGATAAAGAAATCTATAATTTCACCATATATTAATGTCTCCATGCAATAAATTTATGCTTTTAATACTTTATCTTTCCCAACTTTCCGTTAAAAAAACTATAGATACAGCATTCCATGGGATTTATTAAGTCCAGTTTCATTGCATTTGGAATATAAGATTTACAAGGCAACTTCTTGTAGCTAAACTGTTCGCAAGGCAAATTCTTGCAGATCCACACCATCCATTATTAAATATCAACATCATCATTTTTCACTCTCCTCGTGTAGAGCTAACTTGATAAATAATAACTAATTAAGGATTCAAAAAGCAAGATCCGACACAGTTCTTGTGATTCTTATCTCATACAATTGTCCATGTGTTGTCTAGAATCAATTGCGGCAAACCAGAAAAACAGTCTGATGTTGTTATCAAAGATCAAGGAAGCTCACTGTCGATCAAGATTCACGTACTAGAAAAACCAGTCCTCATCTTGGACACTGATATGCATCATGAACGGTTACCATTTTAGGGTAGTACGTAGTTGCTACTGAGTGAGCCTCAAGCACGTTCTTCGACAGAAGACAGCTAATTAACTTGCGCTGCTAGAACAACTGTCAGCAACACAAAGTTGTTGCTTGCCAATTAGCAACATCTTTCATCTGCGTTCTAATGATGTTATTTCCACCAGCTGGAACGCCTCTTGCCTTTTTCTCAACTTTCACTAAAAAATGCATTTGGCAACAAAGGTATTGGCACAAAGGGAAGAACTTAGAAGTGCCAGGGAACATAAATCCTGAACTGATACGTCTTCCTAGGATAACAAGGGATCATGCAATTATCTTAGAGAGCACAAGATCTGCACTGCTATAAATGCAGTGATGGAAGTCATAATTGGACTATAATTTTACTTCTCATCAAAAAAAGATACCTGGTTTTTTATTATATTCTTCTCTTTTCTCACTGATTTTCGTTTTAAACTTTAAACAAATATATATGATACACATCACATAGACAAATAATAGCACGGTTCCTCGAGGCCCAGTTTTACATCAGGGAACTTAAGCAGATCTAGCTGTCGCCTAAAACAGTCTTGCCTACTGCCCATGGCAAGATCGGAAGCATCTAGCCACATTTATACTTCCATCTCGATTTTTTTTTTCTTTTTTACTTCAGTTATTTGCTTTGTTCATAAGTTGTCCCAGCCAAGGTGCGGTTAGCTCTTGTTAGATGGTGGTGAGTTCTCCTTTGGAGGCCAAGATGGAACCAGAAGAAAAGGAAATATTCGCACACGCCTATAGATCATTATTCAGTTGTGCTTACGATGCTGAAATTCAATATGGCCTCGATAATGTTAAAACAGTTCCTCTCACCTACCCACATTTTTTGTCAGTTGCTTTGAGGCGTGTGGAAGTGGTGCGGTAATTATTTTTTTTAAATATATTAAAATATTTTTTTTTATTTTAAAAAATATTTTTTTAATATTAATAATTTAAAAATATAAAAAAATATATATTTAAATTTTCATAATATGCTGTTTAGAATACAATTCTAAAGAGCACATTCATAAAAAAAAATAAAAATATAAACAATGTGACAGTAATTATTTTTTTAATTTTTAAAATTTATTTTTGACATTATTGTATTAAAATAATTTAAAAATATTGAAAAGTTAATTTTAATAAAAAAAATAGATTTATCTCAAACGGTACCACGCACACAGCTCACTGAAAAAAAAATCATCTTCATAAACACTTTATTTTGAAATATGTACTGAAACTGGCTACATTCACAAAGATTGCAAGCTGTCCCGCAATAAATAAAATGGATGATTTTTCCCAAATAAATATTAAATCTTACTGTTCATGTGGCGGAGTGAGATTTATCGGGGCTTGATCCTTGAACAGTCTACATACTCACCTAATCAAAGGGAAAAGGTAAAAATCAAGTCCATTTCATGAGCTACCTGCCACTTTTTGTGTTGAAATATTTAAATGAAAGGTCATCCTTACAATTTTTTGAAGAGTAAGGAGGCCTTTTACTAGCAGGATCATTTTAGATAACCTGCTTATAGGAGGAACCGTGTATATGAACATGGGCAGTAGCATGCTGGAAAATTCGTGTTCTTGTCTCTATTGCGCACCAACATGCTACAGGATTACATATCAGAAGGGCGCATGGTGCAGGGAGGAAATACTTTTTTTGGGTTCCACCATAATACTTTGTGATGATATTTTAAAAATTCAAGTAGTTTAAAAATATAATTTTTAGATTGTATAATTGACTAATTAATTATTTCTAATAATTTTATATATTTTTTACAATCAAAGAGGTTGATAACTTATATTTGATATTTTGTAAGACAATATAACTTTCATCTAGTACATGTAAAAGATTTTCTTCAATGAAAGTGAAGACTATTCAATATTTAAATAAATATTTTTTTTAAAAAATTATAATATCCCACATCGACGGGTAAGGATTTGGTAGCTGACCTTATTAGTAGTGCTGATTGCTAATATATTATACGAGTTTTGGGATGTTAGGTTCAGAAATAGGCTCGTGTCACTAAGAATAAAACTGTGAGGGCGGTAAGACCCAAAACGAACAATATACAACATGTTAGGCTGGGTTGTTTCAAAAATATAATTATATTATAGAGAGAAATGCTATGAAAATATACATGTAGTAGAGAATGAAGATTTTAAACATCTGTTTTGAAGGTCTCATGGTGTATTTATAGCTTATGAGTCTTGTCCTTTCACGAAGAAAAGGGTCTAGAGTGTAATCTTACCTTGATAACATTTAATGAGAAATAAATATCTCTTACATATATACGAATGTTTGATGGGAATATAGTGGGTTCTTGGAGGACTTTTATACACCTAAAAAGTATAAGGAGTTAGGATCTAAGACGTCAAATGTAGCTAAGTCTATGAACGCTGAGTTCTTCCTTGAGATTAGACCTAAGAGAAATGGTTATTACCAAAGTTGTTAAAATTATGATTCAACTTGTAAAATCATATAATTCTACGAGTTAATATATACTTAACGTGCATAATCACCTTAAAAACTTGAAAATTGATAAAATTGGGTTAAAATCAAGTGAAATGGGATGAAATCGCAAAAAATCATGATTTTAATATCGATTTTATGATTTCAGCAAAAATATATACTACTTTGTAACAATGCAATATATGTTTCCTTCAGACCAATA